AGAACAGATTTTCATACAATTAGATAATAAAAAGGAATTAGATAAGGAAAAGAATGAATTAGATAAGAAAAAGAAGGAATTAGATAAGGAATTTTGAATCTGCCTTTTTTTTTTATAGATAGACTTTACGTACAAATTTTGACTTCACTGATTTTATGGGATTTATTTTGACAAAATCAATGTTAATATGGAATAAGACAAATAAATAAAGTCTTTTTATTTTAGTAAGATTTTACGTCTTTTTTTTTTTACTTGTCATATGTTATGGAATTTTTTTTTTCTTAAATTGATTTTATGGGATATAAGACAAATAAATAAAATAATTAAATTCTAGATAGAAATAGCAATGCATTAATTACGTTGACTTTTTAATCTACTAAATTTGGTAATAGGATACCTTATATAATAAGTATAGATACAAATAAATAACATGCCAAAATTTCAAAGAATAATTAATGTATTTTAATTTATTATCTAGCCATCAGTAATATCATTTAATGATGATGTGATCATTATCTCTTAAATGATAAATATAATATTAATTTTAAAGAAATATTTTTTTTATATAATCAAATAAAAATTAAAAAATACTATCGACAAATATGAATTATAATATATATCAGTAAAATAAAATCATTGCAAAAGTTCATAAAATTATTTAAGGAAAGAATCTTTTTGATCATATTTGAATAGGAAATATATATATGCAAGCAATTAATGCATATAGAAAAAAAATTCTAAATAAAGTATGCATTAAATGTGAGTTGACTTTTTTTGCTACTATTTTTGATAAATAGTATGACTTTTAATATAAGTATAGATGATTAAATTAGGTTAACCAAACCTTGTATTATCCTCCCGCTCATTAATAAAAATTACTTGAATGTTTATCTAAAAATTGAGGATGTGATTAATATTGATTTTGACTTTTTTCGTAAATCATATTTTTTTTTACTTTTTTTTTAATAAAAATGAGGTAAAAACCTAACACCATCAGAAAGCTATATTTCATGGGTAACCAACGCCAATTAAGTCATGTTGTAACCACGGTTTCACTACTGATGGGGGGTCCGATAATCTCTGGCACCCAGTAGAGCATCAATGAGCTAGAGAGGCCACACAATCGGCTGCAAAGTTACCTTCTCTACAACAATGAGCCACTGAAATCACCCAAGCCCGACTAAGCAATTCATGGATGGCTCGAACCAAGTTACCATGGACACCAAAATTGTCCGTTAAATTGTCTTTCACCATGGATAACACACTTGAGTTGCCAACTTTAACAACAATATTACGATAACCCAGACTATCATCAGACCTTGGTAAAGGCCCCATAATCCGCTCTCGTGATAGTGCAAAACCCGACATCAAAAAACACACCAACCATCTACCGTGGCGGGGACGGGTTGGGCCAGCTTTTCTCCGGCCCGGTTTTGACAGCTCTACTAATGACTAATGACTTTATAGCTGACTATTCAATATGATAAAAGTGTTTGGTAAAATTAACTGAGAAGCGAGATGAAATAAAAATTTACGGACTTAAAAAAAGTTTATGAGATAAGTTCGAATTTTTAAGAAATGCTCGTTCTACTAAAACAAGTTCATTTATATACAAAAAGTTTATAAAACTAATCAAATAAACTAAAAGTTACTTTATGGTGCTTGTCAAACACATTATAATTGTTAGATGCATCGCTCCATCATACTGTATTTAATAAAATACATACTTATATTATGAAATATTATGATTTTATAGGTATGACATATCAATGTAAAAGACACATCTTCTATATTTAAAAAGCATGAATGCTCGTCGTACTGTTTTTAACAGATACGTATTATACTATGAATTCATATCATAATTTTCTTTAATTTTCTTTTTATATATAACATGCAACTTTATTTTTTAAATCACTTATATTCATTGAAAAAGTATGAATGCGTCTATATTCTATCCATCAAACTTTTCTGTAAACAAACACACATATTTATACTATAAAATGTCATAAATTTAGTTATGTCATTTTCTAGAATACAACATTTCAATTTAAAACATATACACCTATTGAAACAACACTAATGCTCCCATACCCACGATGGGCACATGTTAATATGTCCACGGCTTATGTGGCATGCACACATTGGTGATGTTAATATGTTCAAATAAATACATCACCAATGTATGCATGCCACATAAACAATAGATATATTAACATGTGCCCACCGTGAGTAGGAGAACATTACTGATTGAAACAAATATGAATTTCTAACTGTTAGCCCAACATAAAATTAGTACTACTAAAGAAACGATAGGTCGAGTGATGAGATCGACCTAACCATTAGGTCGATACTCTTTTCACAAATATATATTTTTATTAAAAAATATCGTACTTTACAAAACACCATAAATAAAAACACGACAAACTATGAAATTTGATAATATATACATATATGCATTTTTTGTTCATAGTGTATAGCAAATCGACTCGCCTAAAACTCCCTCCAAAATTTGATGTCTTACGTGAGGTCATCGTTGTTGAGAATGAGAAAAAACATTTATGTTGGGATTTGTTTCATAGAGCTAGCATCCAAATTGTGGATGAGGAAGACCCTAAAGTCCACACCAAAAGCCCTAAACTGATTTTACTTCAAAATCACCCTTTTTCTCTATTGAATTTAATCCATAGTAATCCACAGGCGCCCAAAACAACTTTCAAAATGTGAAGGAGAAAAATAGTGTATATAAAGAGGATGAAATTTCTGTGTTCCACAATCATATTTCAATTCTTCTTCCTCATTCAATATTTCTCTCCAAATCTCCATCTCAAAGCGCTTCACGCTAAAGAGGTCGATAAAGAAAAACGCTAACATATCATATCACCCTTCCTCAAAGGAAAAACTATAGCCAAAACCTGCAATCGTCTTCATGTCGAACACAATTATGCAACTCATGTTTTCTTGATTCTGTAGATAATAACAAGCCGTAGGGCATTCACTGAAAAATTTGCATTTGCAGTTAAGATCTGTATTATGTGTGTAAATAGAGGAGCTTCCTTTAAGTCCAAGATTGAGGGCCGAGAAGCGGCTAGAGCTGCCATCTCATGCATTCGGTTACACTTGAAACGTTTAAGATGCTTCCAATTTGTGACCACTGCATGAGGCGGGAGCAACTCCTTCCGTTTGCTTCGCCCGCTAATTGGACTGAAGGGAGCTCCTCGGAATCTCACCAATACACGCAGCCACACGCATGAATCGATCACTCGAGTCAAATTCAACATCGAGAAAATTACATTTTTAGTCCTTTATGTTTAACTACCCTAACTTTTTCGTCCCCTTCGAATTGTTGTTTTGAATTTCGTCCATTATGTTTGCAAAAAAGGTTACAAAAAGGTCGTTTTTCGCAACACAAAAGGTCCCCTTCCAATTTCCATAAAGGTTGCAATTTCGTCCCCTTTGAATTTCTCGGGGACGTTTCGTAAAATATTTGCAAATATAAGGGATAAAGATCAAAACAACAATTCAAATGGGACGAAAAAGTTAGGGTGGCAAAACATGCAGGACTAAATCTGCAAGTTACTCTTCAACATCAGCTTTAATATGTTTGAGATCTAACTTGGCTACTTTTTCTTGTATACTTTTGTACCAATGAAATAATGTTGTCATGGGTAAAAATGCAGGAAAGAAGATCAAAAGGAGGGTCACAATTCGCAACATGATATGAAATACAGACAGTAGAAACCTCAAGATGCATGTCAAGTTACAAAAATGATGTTTTTGTATTTTACTATTCTTAGTAGTAACTAGTAAATCACCAATAAATTATGTAATTCACTTTTCATTCGAACAAACAGAGTAACATATGTCCGATTTCTGTAAAACTGTAGTTCCTATTAGCATTCTAAGATATGCATGAGAATGAATTGTTGGTTCCCGGCCATAGATCAGTGTAATAATTCTGATCTCCATGAAACAGAATGCAAGTTTAAAAACCTGGAATCCACAGGGAGGTCCATAGATTCCACATTAACAATATCAAGTAGTTCATGAATGATAACTACGTGTACTCGCACTTCATAAACTCAATCACACGTAAAGTAATAACAAATTCTGGCACTCGTTAACATTATCTGTCTTTATCCGTTCATTTGAGGTATAACTAATCACTAGTAAGATACACTCTTAATGGTTCATGCTTTTAACTATAGCAACTAAACATTTTTTGTGCTTTACATCCCAATGACATAAAATCACTTGTATAATAAGTTACATGTTATTGGCTAGAAATTTGTCAATGTGTTACACTCATTATCAATAGTTAAGACAGGAATAAGATATCACAGAGAGAAAATTAAGCATATGTATCAATCTTTTGCCATCTTGCCAGACAATAACAATAAAAATTAAGGGAATGG